TTTTTTTTTTTTTTGAGACAGAGTTTTACTCTTTTTGCCCAGGCCGGAGTGCAATGGTGCGATCTCAGCCCACTACATCCTTCACCTCCTGGGCTCAAGTGATTCTCCTGCCTTGGCCTCTTCAGTAGCTGGGATTACAGGTGTGCGCCATCATGCCCGGCTAATTTTGTACTTTTAGTAGAGACAGGGTTTTACCAGGATAGCCGGATTGGAGACCTCATCTCTTTAAAAAAAAAAAAAGCTGAAGTCTGTCTGTTTGGATTTGGGGTCTGAGCATCATACTGTGTGGCCCGAGGCATGTGTTAAACCACTCTGTGCCTCTGTAGGGGAGGGAACAGAGAGCTGCTTCTCACAGGATGCTGAATGGTCAGTGTTTGGCACTTAGGGCAGTGCCTGACACTAGTGGGCCCTCTGCAAAGTTTTGCTTTGCTTGTGTTCTCTTCATTTAATCCTGGCTCTCTCTGCCTGTGCTGATGCCCCTCCTTCTGCCCTCCTGCCATCACAGTTCAACAGCTTTGAGCAGCTATGCATAAACTTCACGAACGAGAAGCTGCAGCAATTCTTCAACCACCACATGTTCGTGCTGGAGCAGGAGGAATACAAGAGGGAAGGCATCGAGTGGGTCTTCATCGACTTTGGCCTCGACCTGCAGGCCTGCATTGACCTCCTGGAAAAGGTGACCTGCTTCTCAAAGGAGGGGCTTGGAAAGAGGCCAGGGCCAAGGGATGTCACTAGGGCATGCAGGGAGGTGGCATCTGGCTTCAGGGAAGTCAGTGACACCACCGATGACCTTCATTGCTATGACCTCTAGCTCCCCATCTGCAAAATGGGTACTGTAGTGACTGCAATGACTACTGTTCATTGGGTTGTTATATGTCCGCATTCATTGGATCATCATAACCTACTGTATATGGGGGAAGGGATACTTTTATTATACCCATTTCACAGATGGGAACATTGAGGCACAGAGAAGGGAACTTGCTTGTCCAAGGTCCCACAACCTGTGAGCAGTAGAGTCAGGCTTTGACCCAGGCAATATAATAGTTTTGCCTATAACCATATCCACATGGAAGGTTTTAGCAAATGGTCTCTTTCAAGAATGTGTGTTGTGGCTAGGCACAGTGGCTCACACCTGTAATCCCAGCACTTTGGGATGCTGAGGCGGTGGGCCTGAGGTCAGCAATTTTGAGACCAGCCTGGCCAACATGGTGAAACCTTGTGTCTTTTTTTTTTTTTTTTTTTGAGACAGAGTTTCACTCATGTTACCCAGGCTGGAGTGCAATGGCGCGATCTCGGCTCACCGCAACCTCCGCCTCCTGGGTTCAGGCAATTCTCCTGTCTCAGCCTCCTGAGTAGCTGGGATTACAGGCACGTGCCACCATGCCCAGCTGATTTTTTGTATTTTTAGTAGAGACAGGGTTTCACCATGTTGACCAGGATGGTCTCGATCTCTTGACCTTGTGATCCACCCGCCTCGGCCTCCCAAAGTGCTGGGATTACAGGCGTGAGCCACCGCGCCCGGCAGAAACCTTGTGTCTAATACAAAAATTAGCTGGGTGTGGTGGCGGGTGCCTGTAATCTCAGCTACTCAGGTGGCTGAGGCAGGAGAATCACTTGAACTTGGGAAGCAGAGGTTGCAGTGAGCCGAGATCACACCACTGCACTCCAGCCTGGGCAACACAGTCAGACTCTGTCTCAAAATAAAATAAATTAAATTTAAAAAGCAGAGAGCACAGGTGGCATTGACTTCCCCATTTTTCAGAAGGCCAAGCTTGCCAGGGGCCGCTGTTGAGGTGGGATTAGCATTGGAAGAGCTATCTGGCCCCTTCAGATCTCAATCTTCCCTTCTGTTGCACTTAATGAATTCCAGCCTCCTTCAAGTACTAATGGCCACGGTGTTTGATAACAAGACCACGGAGCACCAGGCACTGTTCCCATATGTCACTGCGCAAAGTCCTGCTTCCTGGATGGCCATATGGGTGTCTGGTGCATCTCTACACTGGCCCCAGGTTCAGTGCCAGTGTGGCCTCTTTTGGGTCCTGCCACCTCCTCTAACACCATCCTGTCCTCTTCCCTCCCAGCCCATGGGCATCTTCTCCATCTTGGAGGAACAGTGCGTCTTCCCCAAAGCCACTGATGCCACATTCAAGGCAGCCCTGTACGACAACCACCTGGGCAAGTCCAGCAACTTCCTGAAGCCCAAGGGAGGCAAGGGCAAGGGGCCCGAGGCCCACTTCGAGCTCGTTCACTATGCAGGCACTGTGAGTACTAGCCGCAGGGTCCCTCCGTGTTTTGGGTCCCAGCTGGCTGCCGTCACTGCCACTATTGTAGGTGCATGCTGACATACCCCTCCAGAGATGTCCCGCTTCCACCAGCACAACCATGGTATAACAGGGTAATCAGCTAACTGAAATGAGCTCCGCTCACACCTCCTCATCACTTCTCCAAGGGAGATACCCATTAGGGAGCAGCCATCAGACCCATCCAGGCTGCACCCTGCCCAGGCCCATCATACCTGCCTGGGACCACCATCTATAGCCCTTGGTTTGACAGCTGAACCTCAGTCTTGGCCAGAAATGACAACACTTGCAAAAAGAACAACAACAAAATTCCACGAGCCCATTAATGACTCCCAACTGATAACTTGGCTCTCTGACAGCTCGTAGCCACCAAACCAACAAGGTGACATTTATAGAGTGACTTTTTCACTCAAAACAAACTTAGTCCTTGGGAAGTGGGGAAATTAAGTGTAGCCAGGACTCAGGTTGTATATGCATAATTAATAGGGGAGGTGACGTTCATCTTGCCAGCTTATGAGAATGCATTTGGTTTCCTTGGGATTTTATTATCGCTGTAAGTGCCAATGCTCCTGTTACCAACAGAGGTTGCTGAGCCTCTGTGGGCCTGACTGCAACCAAACTGCAGCCTTAAGACAGAGCTGTCAGGAAAGTCATGATGCCACCGGGCATCAGGGCCAAGGTTTTATGATACCATCAACCATAACCATAATGCCAATTGCTTGTAAAATGGATTGGGCTGATACTTGGAGCAAACAGCAGGCTTGGGACCAAATTGCAGCTCTCCATCCCCTCTTCCCACACTGAACTGAGAAGAGTTCCTTATTTATAGAAACGGAATATTCAAAGTCAAGTGGGACCTATGCATTTCCAAGAAGGCCCTAAAATAATGCACGGAGATGACAAATGTCTTTGTGCCACACAGGAGATGGCAAGCCCAGAAGTTCTGGCTTCTCATCTACTTTCCTCACTTCTCTGTGCTCAATGGAAGGACCTGAAAGACTCCTTCCTCCTTACCCTGGCAATGGGGACCATGTGGCAAGATGGGAAGCAGAAATTAGTAGATGTCCAGTTACCTGGATATATGGAGCCCTCAGTGCTGGACAGGTGGAGCTCCCTTTCCACCAGCCAATGACCCTACAGTGATGTAAGAGAGCGTTTATGCTCCCCTAGAAAGGAGAGAACCTACAGTGTTTGAAGAGGGACTCTATGCTTCGCAGCAAAGAGACTTCTTCATGTAGCTGAGGATTCTACAGCCACAGTCAAGTCACTGACAGCAAAACCACTGGGCAAAAGATGACCCAGGGGTCAGGGAGGCACAATGTGGCTGGCAGAGCAAGCTGCGTAAGAGAAGGTTACACAGCCCAGGAGAGAGTAGCAGGGGAGTCTAGGTTTATGTGAAAAGCTCAGAGTTGGGGTATCCTACAAGGGCAAATTGCAAATACCCAAGAAAACAGATGATAGAGCCTCCAACTCATATTGGGCTTCAGGGGCATCGCAGGACACCAGGCAAGTCAGCAGGACAAGAACTGGAGCCCCAAGAAATGGGGCTGAAAGTTGGTCCTGGGAGCTGAGAATAGGGCAGAGCTATAGGAGGGGCTCTGGCTATAGCACTGAAAGGGAAAGGCTGGACCTCAAAGTTACTCACTGGCGTCTGCCCTCTCCAGGTGGGGTATAACATCACGGGCTGGCTGGAGAAGAACAAAGACCCCCTGAATGAAACAGTGGTGGGTTTGTTCCAGAAATCAACTGTGGCAATCCTAGCCCTTCTCTTCAAAGAAGAGGAGGCTCCAGGTAGGGCTGACCCCTTGTTGCATCCATGCTTCCTGTGCTGATGCCCTTTAGTGGCCAAAATGGAAAGAAGGAACAAAAACTCTTTCATTCAACTCTTGTGGAGTGAGTGAATGAATGAAAAATGGCTTGAGATAGGCATGAAATGAGGCATGTAGATACAACCTGGGAGCCTCCAGTACCTGAACTAATTGCTAGGCATATCTCACCTCTAGGTGGATGGATACTACTTTGGAAAAGTTGACACCCAGATGTTCTGTGTTTCTTTTTCTGTTTCCCTCTCTCTCTTGTCTGAAGCAAATACCAAGCTCCGTCCTACCTCCCATCCAACAGAGGTCATGTGGCTCCTAGGGGAATGCCCTGGTGGCTGCTGCCCCATAGGGTTGCCAATTAGTGGGGCCAGAAACGCCAGTCTCCTTGGTCTCACCACCAAAGTGCACATTCTCCCATGGTCTGTGGGTGCTTCTTCCTCCCCAGGCAATGCAAGCAGTTTGTCACCTTGCACCAGAAATCGCAAAAGCCTGCAGCCTCTCCAAGGAGCACAGCAGCTCTTTTGACAATTACGCTATAGCCAGCCCATTTGACCACTCCTTTTCTTCATGTTAGGATCCCCCTTATTTATCCCCAAGATAAGCCTTTTTAAATCCACAGAATGCATGTGCTTTGGTGCAGAGCACTTAATGGGGCTGCCTTTCTCATACTGAGTACTGACATGAAACATGCTTGTCCCTTCCTCAGCCGGAGGCAAGAAACAGAAGAGAGGCTCCACCTTCATGACGGTCTCCAACTTCTACAGGGTGAGTAGGGGTGGCACCGAGGTCACCTTGGGTCTGGTGCCCCCAACCCTTCCTTTCAATGTTGGGTGGTCTGGCTGCTGCTTCATGGCCAGGGTCAGGATGATTTCATTTCTCTGTCTGTGATTGCCTCTTTACCTGAAGGGGTCTGTTTCCTTCTGAAGAGGCCACAGAATAACAGTACCATTGGGCAGAAGAGACCCTTAGCGAAGGTCCAGTCCAACTATATCATTCTTGGATTTAAGTCCGGAGGGAAAGGGGATTTATGCAGTGTTACCACTTGAGATAGCAATGCCCAAGATCTTGTGTCCTAGACTTGGCTGGCAGGTCTTGGACTGGCCACAACTTCCATGAAGTTTGGGCGTTCCCTTCCAAAGTGCAGTCTACAAGGAGATGTTGCACAAAGAAAGGTGTCAACACTTTTCAAGAATCAGGCTCTCCCAAGGCAGAGGGGGCTACCTTATTGGGTATATCCAAGCAGAGGAGGAGAGAGCATCCATTAGGGAAGTTAACAGTGGACAACAGTTTGTCCACACAGACCCTACAGTTCCTCCTAGTACTAAGATTCTACAATGAACCAGCTCTGAATCCAGAGGTGCCCTGCTTCTTGGACCTTGAGAGAAGTGCTGCCCAATGGCACTTTCTGCAAAGATGAAACATTCTCTTCTGCACTGTCTAATATGGTAGCCGCAAACCACATGTGGCTGAACTTTAATTCTGTTTTAAGTGACTAAACTCTAAATAAATATCTCTCCTGGGTATGGGTATCCTGAACATCAATGCAAAGTTTCACTCACTCATTCTTTGTCCTCCAACCCCAGGAGCAGCTGAACAAGCTGATGACCACCCTCCATAGCACTGCACCCCATTTTGTCCGCTGCATTGTGCCCAATGAGTTTAAGCAGTCGGGTATGTTGTGGGGTCATGGCTCCCTGCTGGAAGTCCTAAGGGTCTGCAAAGTTAGTGTTCATTCTGAATTAAGTCCACCTTTCATCACCAAGGCTGATGGGGGCAAAACAAGGCTCTGAGAGAAACCCCAACAATGGTTTCTAGCTGAATCATATTCTAGCTGCTTTATAAAGCAAAATGGTGCCCAACCAACCAGAAATCAAACTCAGGGGAGCTTTTGGGCATTGGCCAAATGGTGGGGGACCTGGGGCCTCTGGGACAGTGACAGGAGATGACTGGGGATGACGGTACAGATGCTCAGTTCAGCCTCCTTGAGTGGCCAGGACTGGCCTGTCCCACTCCAGAGGAGGGACTCTCCATCTTGCACCCTCTCCCTTGGCAGGTGTGGTAGACGCCCACCTGATCATGCACCAGCTAGCTTGCAATGGTGTCCTGGAAGGCATCCGTATCTGCAGGAAGGGCTTCCCAAACAGGCTGCAGTACCCGGAGTTCAAGCAGAGGTGAGTGATGTCTCACTGAATGCAAGGTTCAAGACGCCCAGGAGTTCTCCAGCTGATAAGTCACATCCACTGCAGCAGACACGATGGTGTTTGGTCAATACCACCTCACTCTCAGTCACTACCTAAGTATACACTGGCCCACATTTTAGACGAGATTGGGCATGTTCAGGGTGGTATGGCTATAGACGCTGCCCCAAATTTCTATTGCCAGCCCCTGCATTTCTCGGCTTCTGGATGCTGCTTCACCCCTCCCTGGCAAGCTGAAAGTCCCCAGAATTAATGCCTCCCTGGAAGGAGCTGTCAACCCAGTCAGTGACTGAGGACAGCTGGTGTATAAATACCCCAGCTCCCTCACCTTTCTCGTGGCTGAGTCTGAGACATTTTCCACATATATGCTCAGACAGCAGTGTGTTTGTAAATGTTTAACAAGGGCTCTCCTGGTCCAAAAAAAAGAGGCCCTGATTGGTAGTGTCTGCCCATTTCCATGGAGTAAACACTCCCACTGTGGCTCCCAGTGATCCCAGCAGCACTAAGCTCCAATTGTCTGTTGCACTAAATGCCTCCACAACACGCCTTTTATTGGCTTTCTGTCCATTCCTTGCTCTGCTACCTCCCAGATAAACTACTTGTATTTGAATTCTTATCTCAGGGTCTGCTTCTGGAGGAATACTGGGGTAACTAATAACCCCATCTCAGAGATGATCTTCTTCTACCTCCTCCAACTTCCTCCAACATAGGACCACAGATTGATGGATCAGGAAAGGTCACTAGTAGTCACCTTATCCAAGCCCCTCTGAAGTCCCCAGCTGGGGACTTTTGTGTCCCAGGTCACAAAGGGGGCTGCTCACAGGTCACGATAAAAAGGGCTGTTTTCTGATGTCTGGGTCAATGCCCTCTTCTCAACTCCAAGCTCTATCAAGAAGAGATTTTGGTTTCTTCATTTCTAGAAACAGCTCTTCCATGTACCCCCAACCCACACCAATGTCCACTCCCAAACTGTAGCCCTTATTCCAAAACGTCCTATCGATCTCATCTCTCTGAGTCCCTGGGGCATCTGTCAAACAAGTCTAATCCCTGTCCAAAGCCCACCTCAAAGACCAGCAGATAACTGCATGAACATGCTTTAGTGCTATCAGCTTGGGCACAGTGATAGCTGCCAATCATCTCTCTCCTGCCAGGTACCAAGTGCTGAACCCCAACGTGATTCCCCAGGGGTTTGTGGACAACAAGAAGGCCTCAGAGCTGCTTCTTGCAGCCATTGAACTGGATGTGAATGAATACAAAATTGGACATACCAAGGTAGGGTCTGGTGGGCAGTCTCCCCCTACACACCCCTTCAGCCTTATTCCAAGAAGGTGGGCTTTGGGGTGTGGATTCCACCTGGCCACTGACCAATGGCCTGCTTTGGGCAAGTCCGCTAGCTGCTGAAAGCCTTTGTTTCCTGAAAAACCAGGGTTGATCATGCTAGCCTCACAGAATTTGGAGTGATTAGAGGCAACATGCATAAAACCCAGCTCAGGTCAGAGGGGAACTCAAGCAATAGTAGAATATTTCTTAGAACCCTACGTTTCTTTTCTTTTTTTTTTTTTTTTGGAGACAGGGTCTTCCTGGAGTACAGTGGCACAATCATAGCTCACTACAACCTCGAATTCCAAGGCTCAAATGATCCTCCTGCCTCAGCCTCCCAAGTAGCTGGGACTTAAGGAGGCACACACCATCATAGCCAGCTAATTTTTAAAATTATTTGTAGAGATGGGGTCTCACTCTGTTGCCCAGGCTAGTCTCGAACTCCTGGGCTCAAGCAATCCTCCTGCCTCAGTCTCCCAAAGTGCTGGGATTACAGGCATAAGCCATTGCACCTGCCCTGAGCCCTGAGTTTCCAAGAATAAAAAGGGCCAATCAGAATCAAGGTCCTGGATCTGACCCTGTCAGGAAGTTTGCTTGGGCGGGGCCTGGACAGTGAAGAACTGTAAGCCCAGCTCTGAGCTGGCAGCTGAGCCCAAACTGACTCAAACAGAGCAGCCTCCTGCTCCTGACTCATGGCGCCTGAGTTGCCCTGGGTCTATCCCATTTCCTGGCCCCGCGGCATCCTGTTGGGGTTGTAAAGGCTGGCCAGGCCAGTGGTGCAAGGTGTCCTTACACAGCCACCCCCTGCAGACTGCACCTCAACATGATCTCCCCATGACACAGGAGGTTCACTGGCTTTGCAGTCAGGAGAGTTGGGCTCAAAGCCTGCCTCTGTGCCGCCTGGAGCAGATCATTTATCTCTCCAAGTTCTCATGCATGACGCAGGCTTGGCATGGAAGCTTGCAGCATGCCTGTGCCTCTAATGCATCTGGTCACTCAGCAAACGCTTATGGTGCGCCTACTGTGTGCCAGAGACAGTTCCAGGCTCTAGGGACACACGGTGAAGAGAACAGAATGAATCCTCACTCCCTGGAGCTTGCTTTATAATACTCTGTCTGTGCAGAATTGTAACACTACCCTAGAACCTGGCAGAACTGTTTGTTTTGTCCTCCTTCACAATTAAGATGTGCTGTAAATAGCTAGATTGACTTGTGGGGGACACTTGAGGTTTGGAGACAGGATCATTGAATACTTGAGCTGGAAAGAATCTTAGAAACCAGAGGGCCCCTCCTTTCCCCACCCACCCTTGACAGATGGGGAACTTAAGAAAGCCTGGAGAGGGGGTGGAGGTGGCATACCCAACCTCACAGAATGAGGCGGGACAGAGCTAGTCAGCATCAGGCCCAATGGGGCCGGTTGTGTGGATGGAGAAGCCGGAGCTGGTATCTCAGAATCTGGCACAGCTCAGAATCTGGTCTGTTTACCACCTGGCCAAAGGGACCCCATCTTGCTATTGTACAAGGGTTGCATGAGACATGTCAGTTCCAGGGGAAGGCCCAGGGCTGCTGGGGACAGTTTTGCTCCCTGAGGACTAGGCAGACTGGCAGCAGGGGCAGAACAAAGAACAGGATGGTTCTGACTGCAAATGGTGTTCCTATGTTTGGAGTTGTGTCAGGTAGGCCCCACCCCCAGCCACATGCTCGTTGCAAAGACCAAACCTCAACACCAATTAATTTTGAAATATCAGGAAACGTTTTATGACATCAAATCCAATTTCTCTACTTGTGATGTCCAGCTCCTTGGGGGGCCTTCTGGGGGCAGGGAGCATTCTTTCTCATCTTTTACCCACAGGGACTCAGTTGGGTGCTATACTCCCTGGCCCCATGTGGCATCTTGGGCTCTTGTAGTTCGGAGGCCCTATAAGCAACATTCTCTCCAGACAGAAGGGGAGGCCTAGGCCCCCCAAGGGACAGTGATTTAACCACAGTCACACACACAGCACATCCAAGGTAGGCTGAGGCCAGAATGCAGGTCTCCTGGCACGTTCTATCCTTCTAAAAGTTTCTATCATGTCCTATTTGAAGCCTGGAAAAAGGTGTTACATCATGAAACATAAAGCCAGCACCTATGAACCCACTGAAAAGCCTGGAATGTCAACTTTGCATGTCTTTCCTCCCTCATCTCCTCCCCACCCGCAGGAGTAACCCTGTCTTGAATTTTGATATAAACCATTCTCTTACCTTTTTTTTTCTTAAGAGACATGGTCTTGGCCAGGCATGGTGGCTCATGCCTCTAAAACCAACACTTTGGGAGGCCAAGGCAGGCAGATCATGAGGTCAAGAGATCGAGACCATCCTCGTCAACACGGTGAAACCCCGTCTCTACTAAAAATAAAAAAAAAATTAGTTGAACGTGGTGGCACACACCTGTAATCCCAGCTATTCGGGAGGCTGAGGCACAAGAATCATTTGAACCCCAAAGGGGTGAGATCATACCACTGTACTCCAGCCTGGGTGACAGAGGGAGACTCTGTCTTAAAAAAAAAAAAAAAAACAAAGAGACAGAGACATGGTCTTGCTCTGTCACCCAGACTGGAGTGCAGTCACATGATCACAGCTCACTGGCTCACTGCAGCTTCAAATTCTAGGCTCAAGCAATTCCCCAACCTCAGCCTCCCAAGTAACTGAGAATACAGGTGCACACCACTACACCTGGCTAATTTTTTTTATTTTTTGTAGATACAGAGTCTCACTATGTTGCCAAGGCTGTTCCCCAACTCCTGGGCTCAAGCAATCCCCTCCCCTCAGCCTCCCAAAGCACTGGGATTACAGGCATGAGCCACATCACCTGGCTCATTTTCTTACCTGTCAAAAATAGCTTTAGCACTTATGCCTGCAGTTGTGCTTGGTTTTGAGTGTCACGGAAGTATCGTACTTGACACACCCTTCTGTGACATTCTTCCATGACGTGCTTTTATCGCCATGTTTCTAAGCTTCAGCCTCACTGGTACGTGACATTATCACTGCCACACTGCAGTGCAGTGCGGCTGTGAACATTCTTGCTCATGGTCTTGTGCAGGAGTTTCTCTAGAACAAAGTCTCAACCTTGGCTGTACATTAGACTCATCTGGGGGGATTTTTAAAACATCCACAGGTGGGGCATGGTAGCTCATGCCTATAATTCCTGCATTTGGGGAGGCTGAGGTGGGAAGATCACTTCAGTCCAGGAGTTCAAGGCCAGCCTGGGAAACATAGCCAGACCCCATCTCTACAAATAATAATAATAAATTTAGCTGGTGGCATGTGCCTGTAGTCTTAGCTACTCAGAAGACCGAGATAGGAGTATCGCTTAAGCTCAGGAGGTCAAGGCTGCAGTCATCTGTAATCATGCCACTGCACTCCAGCCTGGGCGACAGAGTGAGATCCTTTCTGAAAAACAAAACCAAAACAAACCAAAACAAAAAACAAAAACCCTTCTTTGATTTAAAACTCCTCCAACTGGCTGCCATTGGGTAACAGCTGGGCTCTTTCAAAGGTGTGCCGTCTTTTCCCCAGGTGTTCTTCCGTGCAGGCATCCTGGCGAAGCTTGAGGACATGAGGGACGAGCGTCTGGCCAAGATCATGACGATGCTGCAGTGTCGGCTCCGGGGCTTCCTCATGAGGGTGGAGTTCAAGAAGATGCTGGAACGAAGGTAGCACTCACAAACACCAACAGGAAGGCCCAGGGGAGCCACAAGCACTCAGGAACAGCACCCCTAGCCACACCATGCGGTTGGCAAGGGATGGATGCCAATGTCTTTGCTGGCACAAAGAATCCTGTGTGGCTGGCCAGGCACAGTGGCTCATGCCTGTAATCCCAGCACTTTGGGAGGCCGAGGCAGGCAAATCACCTGAGATCAGGAGTTCGAGACCAGCCTGGCCAATGTGGTGAAACCCTGTCTCTACAAAAAATACAAAAATTAGCTGAGCGTGGTGGCACATGCCTGTAATCCTAACTACTTGGGAGGCTGAGGCAGGAAACTCGCTTGAACCCGGGAGGCAGAGGTTGCAGTGAGCCAAGGCTGTGCCATTGCACTCTAGCCTGGGCAACAAGAGCGAAACTCCATCTCAAAAAAAAAAAAAAAGAATCCTGTCTCTCAGAGCTGCCACAATCAAGTTGACACACTGGGTGTCTTCAAACAACAGGAATTTTTTAAAAATTTTTTTATTAAGGGCCCGGCACAGTGGCTCACACCTGTAATTCCAGCATTTTGAGAAGCTGAGGTGGGTGGATCACTTGTGGTCAGGAGTTCGAGACCAGCCTGACCAACATGGTGAAACCCTGTCTCTACTAACAATACAAAAATTAGGTGGGCGTGGTGGCACACACCTGTAACCCCAGCTACTTAGGAGGCTGAGGCAGAAGAGTCACTTGAGCCCGGGAGGCAGAGGTTACAGTGAGCTGAGATCACACCACTGCACTCCAGCCTGGGTGACAGAGCAAGAATCTGTCTGAAAAAAAAAAAAAATTTAACTGATACCTAATAGATATGTATATTTTTGCGTTTCATGTGATAATTTGATACATTCATATAATAAAATCAGGATAACTGGGATATCGATAACCTTAAATTTTATTTTTGAAGGGGGATGGGATCTTGCTCTGTGGCCCAGGCTGGAGTGCAGTGGTGTGACCATAGCTCGCCACAGCCTCAACCTCCTGGGCTTGAGTGATCCTCCCATCTCAGCCTCCTGAGTAGCTGGGACTACAGGTGCACGGTACCACACCTGGCTTTTTTTTTTTTTTTTTTTTTTTTTTTCTATAGCGATGAGATCTCCCCATGTTGCCCAAGGCCCAGGCTCATCTCAAACTCCTGGGCTCAAGTGATCCACCCCCCTCAGCTTCTCCAAGTGCTGAGACTACAGGCATGAACCAATACACCCAGCCCATCTTCTCTCTTTTTATATGGGCACCAGTCATATTGAATTAGAGTCCACCTTACTCTAATATGACCACCTCACCTTAACTAGTTATATCTGCTAGGACCCTATTCCCAAACAAAGTCCCCTTCCTAGGTACTGGGGGTTAGGACTTCACCGGATCCTTTAGGAGGACACAGCTCAACCCCTAACAGGAAACAATTAACATAAACCCTCTCTTTATAGTTCAGATCACATTCAAAGCCTTTCTCTTACTTAATCCATGTAATGATGCTGTAAAAGGAGCATGGTAGGGCCAGCATCCCCACTTTACAGATGTGGAAACTGAGATCTGAGAAGTTAAGGAACTGGGGCAGGTTCACGCAGAGCCAGGATTAGAACTCAGCAATTCTTACTCCACATCCCTGCCCTTTGAATCATGTTTTTCAGCCATCTCCCTAACCTGGTAATTTAAAAACGGCTGGGTCCAGCCAGGTGTGGTAGCTCATACCTGCAATCCTAGCACTTTGAGAAGCCAAGGCAGGAGGATCACTTGAGCTCAGGAGTTTGAGACCAGCCTGGGAAACAGTAGATAGGGAGACCCCATCTCTACAAAAAATCACAAATTAGCAGGTGGTGGTACATGACTGTAGTCCCAGCTACTTGGGAGGCTGAGGCAGGAGGATCGCTTTAGCCAGAGTTTAAAGCTCCAGTGAGCCATAATTGTACCACTGCACTCTAGACTGGGCAATAGAGTGAGACCTTGTCTCAAAAAAAAAAAACAAAACAAAACAAAAAACAACCTAGTTTCATCCCAGATGACCTGTGATTGAGTCTATTTCTTTGTGGTCACAGAATTAGTAATGAATTCCTGTTCCCACCAGCAGGGCACCTGCAGCCCTATACTGAAGGCAGGGACACCAGTTAGGGGCTGATGTGAGGGATCTTGGCCTGATCCAGCCCAGGGCCTTGGTGCACAGGAGGTCCTCAATAAATGGCAATTGAATGAAGCTACAGGGAACAAGAAATGGGCGGATTCCAGCAACTTTGCAGATCCATGGGATTCAGAGACTAATGGGTGATTTCTGGTGAAGTGGGGAAAATGCAGGAGTAAATGACTGCTCTGTCTCAGCCTTGTACCATCTGGGAGGGACTTGGTTCCATCGGGTTTTGTCTCAGCTCTCTTAGCTGCTAAGCTCTGACCCCAGCTTGAGTCTCCTTGCCCCCAACCACATGGGCAATGCCAGGTCTTAAGAAAGCACTTTTGTGTCTAGACAAAGTAGATCTGCTGGCTTCTACTTCCAGGCCCCTGCCCTTCCCCAGGGAAGCCAGAAGCCAGGTCCTAACACCTTCATTGTAACCCATTCAGCCCTGGATTCTTTTCACAGAATGGGCCTGAAAGTCATTCAGCGGAATGTGCGCAAGTTCCTGCAGCTTCGTTTCTGGGGATGGTGGAAGCTGTACAACAAGGTAAGGGCTGAGGGGCCAGGACAGCAAGGACTGCTGCTGCCTGTGGGTTTGTGGGGAGGGGGCTCGATCCTGGACAGAGGTGCCCCTCGGAGTGAGAAGCTGCAAAAACAGTCTGAAAATGAGGGCACCTTAGAGGCAAAATCTAGCCTCTGTCCAGACAGGAACTAATTCCTCCCTAAGAAAAATCATGGGGCCAGGCACAGTGGCTCATACCCGTAATCTCAGCCCTTTGGGAGGCTGAGGCAAGAGGGTTGCTTGAGGCAAGAGGGTTGCTTGAGGCCAGGAGTTTGAGACCAGCCTGGCCAACATAGTGAGACCCCATTTCAAAAGAAAAGAAAGGAAGAGAGAGAGTGTGTGAAAGGACAGGAGGGAGGGAGGGAGCAAACAAACATCATGTGTCTTTCCGCCTTCTATCTCATCCCTCAAATAAAATCCACTTAAGATGGAGAGAGCCACTACAGCCCTACCAAAAAAAGTAAGCTTGATTATTGACTCCTTGCCCCTGGGAATGTTAAGGCATCTTCAACTTCAGTGAGTTCTTGGCTTTAGAGCTGGAGGAACCTCAGGAAATGATGGGGTCCGACCTCTCATTTCCTGTTCTTCCGAAACAGCAATGAGTGTGGTGTGTGAGTCAGCCAGCTGGTGGGACCTACAGATGTGGGTAGTCAGGGCACCCTCAGCCAAGGCAGGAGGCCACCAGCCATGGCACTGTATGTGGGTCCGATCATGCCTGAACTAGGGCCACCATTAAGAGGGAACATGTCCCTGGGCACCAGAGGAGGAAGTTGGGCACCAGGCAGCTATGTTCAGGAGACAGACAGGAAGACCTGCAGAGGGTGAGGACGGGATCTGAGTCATCTCAGATGGCCCTGAGTCCTCCATAGCTCACAAGGAAGTTTCTTTATATTCCCCATGGGAAAGAACTGGCTAACCAATCAGCACCGACCACAAACGGAAAGGGAGGAATAGCAAGTTCTGCTTCCCCATATGTATCCACACACAGGCCAGCCCTGGAAGACCTGAGACTGGAGAGGAATCTATATGAACACATCTCAAAGGCCAGGCATTGCCGGTGCTGCCTGGGTTTCCTCACCTGTTCCATGATGCACTTTTCTATACATTAATTCACTTTTGTTTCTTTTTTTTTTGAGACAGGGTCTCGCTCTGTCACCTAGGCTGGAGTATAGTGGCACAATCTCAGCTCACTGCAACCTCCACCTCCCAGGTTCAAGCAATTCTCCTGCCTCAGCTTCCCCCTCCCCAGTAGCTGGGATTATAAGCATCTGCCACCACACCCGACTAATTTTTGTATTTTTGGTAGAGATGGGGTTTTACCATGTTGGCCAGGCTGGTCTCAAACTCCTGACCTCAGGTGATCCACCCACCTTGGCCTCCCAAAGCGCTGAGATTATAGGAGTGAGTCACCACACCTGGCTTCACTTTTGCCCAGGCTGGAGTGCAGTGATGCAATCATAGCTCACCGCAGCCTCACACTACTGGACTCAAGCTATCCTTCCATCTCAGCCTCCCAAATAGCTGGGACTATAGGTGTGCGCCTCCATGCCTAGCTGATTTTTAATTTTTGTTTCTGAAGAGACAGGGTCTTGCTATGTTGCCCAGGCTGGTCTCAAACTCCTGGCCTCAAGCAATCTTGCCATGTCGGCCTCCCAGATGGCTGAGATTACAGGTGCATAGCACCCACCCAGCTCATTTTTAAATTTTTTGTAGAGAAAAGGTCTTGCTACATTGCCCTGGCCAGTCGCAAACTCCTGACCTCAAGTAATTCTCCGCAGCCTCCTGGAATTACAGGCATGAGACACTGTGCCCAACCACAAATTTTATTTTAAAAGGAAACTTTGTAGCCTTACCTGCTTTAATCTCATCCTGACCAAATGTTATCCACAAAATTGTGAGTTTGAGGAGTTCTTTTTCATTTTTTAAATTACCTATTAAAGTAACTATGTCACAACTCAATCAAAGGGTGTCTACGCTTAAATGCATCTCACCAGACCCCCCGGTATACAATTAGACTCTGGGAAGACCCAGGCCAACGGCCTTTAAGGTTTCTTCTGAGTAGACACAGTAGTAACGGCTATAAACTCCCTGCTCATTACCATTAGACCTGACAGAACAAGGTCTTGTTCTAATTAGTTTTTTGTTTTGTTTCGTTTTGAGACAGAGTCTCACTCTGTTGTCCAGGCTGGAGTGCCGTGGCAACTTCTACCTCCTGGGTGGCTGGGATTAAGGTGCCCACCACCACGCCCAGCTAATTTTTTGTATTTTTAGTAGAGACTGGGTTTCACCATGTTGGCCAGGCGTTTCTCAAACTCCTGAACTCAGGTGATCCACCCACCTCGGCTTCCCAAAGTGCTGGGATTACAGGCGTGAGCCACAGCACCCAGCATTTTTAGTTTTTTTTTTTTTAAACCTCTCCTCTTAGTACACTAACGAAGCTCTAACCTTTTTTAACAAAGCCAGATAGGCTGGGTCAATGAAAAAACGCTCGTAGTAGGTTTTCATTGAATAAAAAGTACTACACAGGAGCAATATGGTGGTTACTGCAACCTTTTCATGCCAGCTTTACCACTGTGACATCCCAGCTTCTCAACAACCAGGCTGGCAATGAACGAGGTTTATCTGTTATCTTCCAAAAGAGGCACAGGCCGTCTCTCCTCCCAAATCCATGTCTAGGACATTTTCCCTCCTGGGAAACATATCTATTGACTATGTATCTATTGTATCTGTGATTCCCAGAGGACCTGCCCCACCAGCTCTGCTAGGTGCTTTAGGGACCCTGAAGGGACAGGAGGGAGGTCTTTAAGGGGCTTGCAGACGCAGGGCAGAATATGGGTGGTGGGACCGGACGGAGCCTGGCGCTCCAGTGCAGGTAAGAAAGGCCAAGTACATGGAGAGATCCTAATGGGTGCTACAGGTGCAGAACAGGAGCAAATGCTACTGGCTAAACAGCAAAGAAGGCCCAGCCGTACAGACACAGGCACAGGGGCACCGGCCAGGGCGGGAAGTGTCAGCTGAGACAGTGCAGGAGGACAGCATGGGCTACACTACGGAAGGCCTGCAAGGCCAACTTGAGAGGTAGGACTTCAGGTTAGAGAGAAGATGAAAGAAGTGAGAGAGTAAGGGACAGAGAGAGAGACACACACACAGAGAAAAACAAATAAAGAGAAAGACACAGACACAGACAGAAAATGAGAGAGAGAGAAACGGAGAGAGACAGCACAGCAGAGAGAAAGACAGAGAGAGACACCATGAGACAGAGAAAGAGACAAAGACAGAGACAGAGACAGGGAGAGAGAAAAACAGAGAGATGGAGACAGCAATAGAGAGAGACGGAGAAGAGAGGCAGAGATAAGGACAGCATGAAAAAGACAGAAACAGACACACAGAGAGGGAAAAAGTGGGCAGGTGAGAGAGACAGCAAAATGAGACAAAAAGAGACAGAAACTGAGAGAGACAGAGGGGCAGCACTCGGTATGGAAGGAAGGAGGGAGGGGACCCCGAGGCTGTTCATTTTGCCAGGGCTCCTGCTGTCTATGCAACGTGCAGAATAGATGTAAGCCTTGGGGCGCCTAGATGCTGAGGTCACCTCCTGACTCCATATCCCTCAGGATTAAAGAGCATCCTAAGAATTGTCCTAGGTGAGGATGGGCCTTCTCTGTTGAAGCTAGGGATACTTTATACAAGAAGCTTGGCCTGGTGGCATCTGTGGAGAGGGACCCCACCCACAGAGATACAGCAAGAGCTGCTTCCCCCCACCATGGTTCTGTGAGGTGACACCTGAGGCAGAGACCCCACAGCCCACCATCTATCCCCCAGCAAAGCCCATCCTCCTAACACTCTTTGGTGGTGCTCATTGCCCAGGTCAAGCCGCTCCTGAATGTGGCGCGGCAAGAGGAGGAGATGAAGGCCAAGGAGGAGGAGCTCAGGAGTGCCATGGCCAAGACCCAGGAGCTGATAAACAAGGTCAAGGAACTGGAGGAGAAGATGGCCACACTCAGCCAGGAGAAGAACGACCTCACCATCCAGCTGCAGGCTGTACGCAGGGTCCTGGGGAGAAGGGTGGGGGGACCCACGTACAGCCTGGACCCAGGGAAGGAGGAAGGGCGAGCTCTTCCCAAAACCCGTGTCCCTCCAGACCATGGGGAAATTCTCCAGCATACAAGGTCACCCTCAATCCAACTACCAAAAAGTTTCCATCGTGTGTGTGTGTGTGTGTGTGTGTGTGTGTGTGTGTGTGTGTGTGTCTGAGAGAGAGAGAGACAGAGAAAGAGAGAGAGAGGAGAGAGAGAGACAGAGAGAGAGCAGACAGGCAGACAGACAGACACAGGGTCTTGCTCTGTTACCCAGGCTGGAGTGGAGTGGCTCGATCACAGCTTACTGTAGTCTCCATCCCCTGGACACAGATTATTCTCCCACCTCAGCCTCCCGAGTAGCTGGGACTACACCACCACGCCCACTGAATTTTTTTGTATTTTTTGTAGAGGCAGGGTCTCACTATGTTGCCCAGGCTGGTCTCAAACTCCCAGCCTCAAATGGTCCTCCCATTTCGGTCTCCCAAAGTGCTGAAATTACAGGTGTGAGCCCCCATGCCCAGCCTCCATCAAATTCTTATTTGCACACAGCAGCAGGCTGGGCACACACAGCTACAGGCCCTGCCTGAAGGGAAAGTCCAGGGATGGTAGCCACAAGATGGGGTGAGAACATTGTCCCCTGGAGTCAGGGCTGGGCTCTGCCATGTGAACTTGGCAACTTACCATCTCCAAGCCTCCTTTTCCTCGTCTGTCCAGGAAAACACAGCAGGGAAGAATGAATGACGTCATTTCTGTAGGGTGCCTGATTAAATGTCCCGCGGTGAATTCACTGTCAGGGTCCTGGTTTGCAAAGCTTCTCCTATTCCTTTCCTGATTTGACTCTCACAGCCACCCTGTAAGACACCTGATTTTCATGTGCCTCATACAGAGTGGAAAACCCAGTATGGCAGACATTTAGAAATCTGATCAAGGTCCTAGGCCCATTAGTAGAAAACCTAGCCCTGGAAGGTGCCCAATTCCATCTTCAGGCCTCCCTGCTCTGCCACGGCCGTCTCTGCTTGCATTTTCCTTCCCTTGTCCCTGAAGCTGCCTCCAACATAATTTCTCTATATCCTCTTCATACCCCTGATAAGTTGTTTGAACTGATATTCCCATTTTGTTTGTGGAGGCTGAGGCTGGGCTAGACCACAGTGATGGAAGAATCCTCCTGGGCCAGATTCAGGGGCTCACGCCAGTAAACCCAACACTTTGTGGGGCCAAGGCAGGAGGAATGCTTGAGCCCAGGAATTCGAGACCAGGCTGGGTAACATAGTGAAACCCCATCTATACAAAAACAGTTAAAAATAAGCCGGGTATGGTGGCACACCTGTAGTCCCAGCTACTTAGGAGGCTGAGGTGGGAGAATTGCTTAAGCCTAGAAGGTCAAGGCTGCAGTGAGCCATGATTGCGCCACTGTACCACAGCCTGGGTGACAGAGTGAGACTCTGTCTCAAAAATAAACTTAGCTGGGCATTGCAGTGTGTACCTGTAGTCTCAGCTACCTGGGGGACTGAGGTGGGAAGATTGCTTGAGCCCGGGAGGTCGAGACTCCAAGAGCTGTGATTGCACCACTGCACTCCAGACTGAGCAACAAAGCAAGACACTGACAAAAAAAAAAAGGAGTTCGGAGATAGCCTGGTCCCTTGTCCAACCCCATCTAACCCCCAGGACACATTTGTTCAGGACCCATCAGCTCAAGGCTTGTCCAGGGTCTTGGTGTGGTCTTTGCCTGGACCCTGCCTACGACTGGAGCTCTTTCTCCCAACAGGAGCAAGAGAACCTGATGGATGCAGAGGAGCGCCTGACACAGTTGATGAAGACCAAGATGGAGCTGGAGAGCCAGATCTCGGACATGCGGGAGCGGCTGGAGGAAGAGGAGGGCACAGCCGCCTCGCTGAGCGCCGCCAAGCGCAAGCTGGAGGGGGAGTTGAGCGACCTGAAGCGGGACCTGGAGGGCCTGGAAACCACGCTGGCCAAGACAGAGAAGGAGAAGCAGGTGAGGAGAGGCTGGGCCCTGCCATGCCTTTCTCAGGTGCTCTCTCTGCAGGGGCCATGCCTGGAGCCCCCATGGTGGCTATGGTCAGTGCCCTAACCACTGGCCACATAGGGCTGTTTTTTGGTTAATTTTTGGGGTTTTGTTTTGTTTTGTTTTGTCTTGAGACAGAGTCTTGCTCTGTCACCCAGGCTGGAGTGCAGTGGCACGATCTTGGCTCACTGCAACCTCTACCTTCTGGGTTCAAGTGATTCTCATGCCTCAGCCTCCCGAGTAGCCAGAACTACAGGTATGCACCACCACACCTCAAGTGATCTGCCTGTCTCGGCCTCCCAAAGTGCTGGGATTACAGGCGTGGGCCACTGTACTCAGCCCACACGGGGCTACATTAATTTACAACTTAAAATGCAGTTCCTCAGTTGCACAAGCCACATTGCAGGTGCTCAACAGCCATGGGCGTGAAGTGCCACTGCATGGGGCAGCAAAGGCAGAGAAGATGTCCGTCACTACAGAAAGTTCTGCTGGGCAGGGCAGCTGACTAAGGGGACTGAAAGCTGTTCCCATCATGGTGAAGTGTCCACCTTTAACTGTTGAATTTCTGCCCAAACAAGCAGTTGCTGCCCCTCTGAGCAGCTCCCTGGGGGAAGCCCTGGCTCCTGATGCGTCCCCTTCCTGCTATTGCAGGTGGGTCGGGTTCATGAGCAGGGTAAGAGGGACTCTGCCTAAACCTGTGCTTCTGCTCTGCTGCACACACACAAACCACCAAGGATACGGTCAGGTGCAGACTCTGGCGGGTCTGGTGGGGCCTGAGGATCTACATTTCTAGCGTGATGCCACTGCCGACATCCAGGGACCACACTTTGAGGAGCCTAGGTTCTTGCTGCTCCCCTTTACCCCCAAAGTTCTGACTTGGTTGGCCTGGGACACGCCCTGGGTGCTGGCATTTCTCAAGCTCCCAGGAAACTCTAGAGTGCACCCAAGCTGAGGACTCCCTCCTCTTCTCTTCACAAAGGCTATTTCCAGCCTTAACAACTCACCTTTCTCCTGGCCTTGGTTTCCAGGCCCTGGATCACAAGGTCCGTACCCTGACTGGGGATCTCTCACTCCGTGAAGACTCCATCGCCAAGCTCCAGAAGGAGAAGAGGGCCCTGGAGGAGTTGTACCAGGTAGGTTTCCCGAGTCTTTCCTCAGGCCAGCGGCTGAAGCTTAGCACAATGTGCTTTGCACTGGAGACTAGAGCCCCCATTTCAAATCCTGGCTCTGATGCCCCTTCAGCTTGGGGCCGCAGGGAAGTTAAGGAATCTCTGTACATCTCAGTTTCCTCAAGAGTGACATGGGTGTGGCCTCCTCTTGCCCTCCTTCGAAATTTGTTATAAGTAGGGCAACAATATATTTTGTTTTCCAAACTAGAACAGTTTTGAGAGCAAGAGGGAGAGGTATGAACAATTATGAATCATACAGGCAAGGCAGCTCACACCTGTAATCCCAGCACTTTGGGAGGCTGAGCGGGGAGGATCCCTTGAGTTTAAAAGTTTAAGACCAGCCTGGGCAACATGGCAAAATTCCCATCTCTACAAAAAATAACAAAAATTAGCCAGGTCTGGTGACACACGCCTGTAGTCCCAGTTATTCAGGAGGCTGAGGCAAAAGGATAACTTGAACCCGGGAGTTGGAGGTTACAGTGAGCCAAAATTGCGCCAATTACACTACAGCCTAGGTGACAGAGCAAGACCCTGTCTCAAAAAAACAAACAACAACAAAACAATGAGTTAGGTTGGGCCCATGCACACTGGAGAAAGTGTGCTCACTGGAATGGTGGGGTTGGAGCAGGGTGTATGGAAATGACCCGTGAGCTTGAAAGCCCAGTAAACCCTGACACTGTGGCAACAACAGGTCATGAGCTCTTGAGGCCGAGGAGACTCCCCTACTTTCCCAGGGTTGCTATCATGGGCTCAGGCTTCTGAATGCAGAGCAGACCTCCAGAGAAACAGAGGCAAACAGCCAGACAGTGGACCCTCATCCTTGTGTTTGCTGACACTATGAATCCACATGTCCCCTGAGTGTCTCTCCCTGCTGCCTTGGGAACTGCCACTCTTGCCCTGTGATTTTTAAGCATATCAGACCCAGAGCCCCCTTTCATAACAAATACAGTCAATTTGTGTTATTTACAATCATTATGTTTTTGTTTTTGTTTATTTTTGAGACAGAGTCATACTCTGTCACCCAGGCTGGAGTGCAATGGCATCATCTCAGCTCACGGCAACCTCCGCCTCCCAGGCTCAAGCAGTTTTCCTGACTCAGCCTCCTGAGTAGCTGGGATTACAGGGGCCTACCACCACACCTAACTAATTGTTTGTATTTTTAGTAGAGACAGGGTTAGACCATGTTGGCCAGGCTGGTCTCAAACTCCTGACCTTGTAATCTGCCCGCCTCAGCTTCCCAAAGTGCCGGGTCTACAGGCGTGAGCCACTGTGCCCAGCCAATTTTTGTAGGGTTTCATCATGTTGCCCAGGCTGGTCTCGAAATCCTGGGCTCAAGCAATCCTCCCACCTCAGCCTCCCAAAGTGCTGGGATTGCAGGCATGAGCCACCACACCCTCCCAACATTTTCATCAAACAATCAATACATAATTGATGCAACTATGGTCAATACATTACTGTGTTATATGTGTCTTATTTAAATTGTTGATTCATTCACACTGAACTCATGGCCAACAGCACTGTCTATACCTTGTGTCTGAATGAAGCTTCTCTCATACATGTATTTTCTCATAAGGCACATCACCACCTTCCTGCACTAGGGACACTCAACAGCACTTCAGCACTGTGTTTGGGGGTCATTTTAAACAGCAAAACCCCATAAAAAGCAAAAAAAAGCATGGCACTAAATAGAGCATAAAAATGACACTTGTTTACAGTATGAGGTTGACACAAAAAGGCAGAGTATCACCTTGTTCGACCTCAGCAGAAAAAGTGTGCATCAAAATTTCTCCTGACCCCACGTGCATGTTTGCAGATGACCATGAGAAAGTGCTGCGAATACTGATTGTGGATTACAAATACGTTTTGGTGAGTGGGTGAATGGACAAATAGAAAATTCAATAAATAGGCCCAGTGCGGTGGCTCATGCCTGTAATCCCAGCACTTTGGAAGGCCAAGGCAGGCGGACCATTTGAGGCCAGGAGTTCAAGATCAGCCTGGCCAACATGGTGAAACCCCGTCTCTACTAAAAATACAAAAAATTAGCCGGGTGTGGTGGAGCACGACAGTAATCCCAGCTACTCAGGAGGCTAAGGCAGAAGAATCGCTTGAACCCAGGAAATGGAGGTTGTAGTGAGCTGAGATTGCGCCATTGCACTCCAGCCTGGGCAACAAGAACGAAACTCCAAGTCTCAAAATAAATAAATAAAATAGGCCAGGCGTGGTGGCTCATGCCTGCAACCCCAGCACTTTGGGAGGCCAAGGTGGGTAGATCACCTGAGGTCAGTAGTTCGAGACCAGCCTGGCAAACATGGCAAAACCCCGTCTCTATTAAAAATACAAAAATTAGCCAGGCATGGTGGTGCTTGCCTGTAGTCCCAGCTCAGGAGCCTGAGGCAGGAGAACTGCTTGAACCTGGGAGGCAGAGGTTGCAGTGAGCCAAGATTGTGCCACTGCACTCCAGCCTGGGTGACAGGGCAAGACTCCATCTCACTAATAATAATAATAATAATAACATAATAGGCCAGGCGCGGCGGTTCATGTCTGTAATCCCAGCACTTTGGGAGGCCGAGGCAGGTGGATCACCTGAGGTCAGGAGTTCAAGACCAGCCTGGCCAACATGGCAAAACCCCATCTCTATTTAAAAAAACACAAAAGTTAGCTGGGCATGGTGGTGGGCGCCTGAATCCCAGCTACTCAGAGGCTGAGGCAGGAGAGTCACTTGAACCCAGGAGGCAGAGGTTGCAGTGAGCCAAGATCACACCACTACACTCCAGCCTGGGTGACAGAGCAAGATTCTGTCTCATAAAAATAAATTTATTTTTAATTTATTTTTATAAAAATAAATTTATTTTTAATTTATTTTTATAAAAATAAACAGTAAAAGAATTCTCCTTTTACTATTCCTAACTAAAAATTATAAATAACATAATATGTAACTTCAAGAAATCAATAGCACACTCTTTGATATAAAGGAGAAATGAGTGGAAACTGACACTAGATAATGTGCTGTTGATATATAAAAGCTGAGGCAGGTCGGCCGGGCACAGTGGCTCATGCCTGTAATCCCAGCACTTTGGGAGGCCAAGACAGGCAGATCACTTGAGACCAGGAGTTCGAGACCAGCCTGGCCAACAGGGTGAAAACCTGTCTC